TTCTTTGTTTTTCAAGGAGTATTGTGAGGTTTTTCTTTGAGTATTTCCTTGGATGTCTCTTTGGAGTGTTTTTAGAGGATTGCCAAAAAAGGAAATTTTTAGGAATTTTGAGATTTGCGGGAAAGAGTTTTTTTTTTAAAAAAAAAAAAAATTTTAAAATATATAATTTAATTAAATTACAATAAATAAATAAATAAATTATTTATAACAATTTTAATTTATCAATTTGTAAAATAAGAACAAAATTAATTAAAAAATAATCTTCATTAAATTTTAAATTGCTTATTTGATTTTTTAATTAAAGAAATTTATTAAAATTTATATTAAAATCAAATTTTTAAATTTTTAAAAAAATTTATATGGTAAAAATTATTTTTTCTTTTATAATTTATATAAAAATTTATATATAAAAACTTATAAAAAATTTTTAAACAAGATCTATAAGTTTATAGTATAGTAATAATACTTTATAGATTATTAGAAGAATATTTAAGATTCAAATATATCTGATTACAAAAATTTATCACTTTCATAATTGATTGATTAGTTTTTAATACATGTCATATTTAATTAATCAAAAATTATCTATTAAATTAAACTAGGTTGCATAAAAATAGAATCTCTAATTTTTCTAATAATTGTAAAATAAAAATGGGTTAAAGCAGAAAAGATTATATGAGACAAGATAATATTACAAATCATTAATTGGAAAGTTCAAAATTAGCCAATTAGAATTCAGGATTTTTAGTTGCAACTAGTTAATTATATTGAAAACAACTAATTGATTATAAAAATTTTTGCCAACTAAAATTACTAAGACAAGGCTTTTGGTTTAACTCCAATATAAGTTCACAATTCCAATTGGAATAGCAAACTCCATATTACTATTCTTTCTATTCAAGTTGGCTAGCTTCTTGATTTAAATTGTACTCAATTAGCTAATACTTCAAAACTGGATTAGTAGACTCTAAAATTCAATTGAATCTTCACCTTCCTATTTGATATTAATACAATTTGAATTGATAATTCAATTATAAGAAAAAGTTAGATAATAAGTTAAAAAGGAGATTACTAGAAAGGTTTTTCAATTGTTGAACAGAATTTTCCTTATCTTATATTTACAAGTAGAAAGTTATAAGCATAAACTAAAATATGAACTCACTTATTTAATATAAGTTGATATTCTAATAAAAAAGGGTAAATAATATAAGTTAATATTAGCAATAAGTTCCAATGGAACTATAGCATATTGGTAAATACCTGATACATTTGTACTAAGGTCACAGGTTCAATTCCTGATGATGGTAAAATTCCTGTGAACCTATTCCAGGAGTGATTATGATAAGTATAAGTTGCCTTACTACTATGAACTATTTATCAAAGTATCATAGTACTATAAATCTCATTGGAGATCCAAGAATTCTATATAGAATTATCATAAAATAATTTGTCTCAAAGATCTTAATAGGAGCTGAATGTGATATCAATAAGTATCAGTTGCCTGACTACCGATTCACAACCAGGTTGGACCATAAATTTCTCTTAAATTTTAAGGACCTGTGAATTTATAGTGTAGTAATTAACACTTCACAGGTCAAATCACAAGATATCAGTTCAACTCCATGTGAGAGAAGTTGAATTAAATTAATATGGTATCTGGCATTATAACCTGTAAAAAGCACTGTTTCTTATGAGAAGCTATTTTATACGCTGATCCAATGGATATTGAGATTGTGATTTTCAAAAAAGGTGTTGTGGTACAACAATTGTCTAGTTGATGTTACAATGATTGCCAAAAGTTGCAAAGTATATAAGGTGTCTGCTTTTGATGAGTAGGTTTGGTGATCCCTTCCCCTAATATCCAGTATCTTTTACATAGATTCCTGCCTAGTCTCATTCCAATCCAGTAATAAACCAGTTTGGCGGTACTTATTCTGAAAGACTTTTGACTATAAGTTCTGTTTCCTGCAATATGTAATTTGGTATTCAGGTGGTAAGCACCAGTTATAAGTATCTTAAATATTCTTGGGTATCATTGGACAGGTAAGAAATTAAATAGTTAGTCTAGCTAAAGGTGGTAGTAAAGAGATTTATCCTTAATGGAGCAAGTAGTGATTATGTAGCTTTATTTACTATAGATATTATCCCTAGTGCCCCCTTTCAAATTCCTCTTAATCCCTCCTTAGTTAGAAATAAAGCTGTCCAATTACTAGTGAAAATGCATGCTACTGGTTTAACAAAGGTATACTTTGTTCAGTAGATTAGTCTCTATATCTAATATAGTTAGGAATAAGCTACAGCAAATGTTATTATTTGGAGTAATCCTGATAAGTATTAGATGTAACTAATAACTGATACATTATAGCATAGTTCTAGATAATAATGTCTAAAGATATATGTAAACATCATTATGAGGAATAAATATTTAATTAGTCAATTATTGCTAATGCACTTTAAAAAAAAAATATTATTATTATTATTAGCAATAATTAATAAACTATTTATATATAGATAATTATAATCTTAAGTAATTTAACAATAAAATCCATGCATGTATTATAACTTAGCCTTTTAAAAAAAATTTTTTTAAACAAACTTTTTTTGGTTTTAAAATTAAATTTTAAATTAAATTTATTAATAAAGTATTAAAAAAAACTTATTTTATTTTTAACATTTTAAAAAACATATCTTTATATTTTATAACAATTAAATAAATACAGTCAAACCTGGATATAACAAAGCCTTTGGGCTAATTAGTAAAAATTGAAAAAAATTGTTTAAAAATTCATTATAAAGAATTTTTAAAAATTTATATAATAAAATTCTCTTTTTATAATGAATTTTGAGTAAATTCAAAATTCAAAAATTCATTATAACCAGCATTTTATTATAGCTTCGTTATAAACAGGTTCGTTATATCCAGGTTTGACTGTAGTTATTTATTTATTATAAAAAAAAATATTTGTCCAAAGACTTTTTAGACAAACTGTAAATATAAGAATAGTATTAATAATTTTTAAGAAAGAAAAAACAATAAATTCACTTATAGGATCTTTCTCAGGGCATTACATGATGAAGCCTTGATTCTCTCCAGAGATTATGCAGAAAATAGTAATCATACTTGCTATTGATTCAACCGAACTGCATATTAGCATTAAAGCATCGCGTTGTATACGGTTGAAAAACCATGATGGTTCTTTAGAAAAAAGTGTTTATAGAATTACCTTTCATAAGGAGCTAGTATAAAATTGAAAAAATCAAAAGGTTTTTATCTAGAAGTCGTTATAAATAGGTTCGTTATAACTAGTTTATTTGACTACATAAAATAATGGCACGCTTAGAACAAATAGCTGAATTGAAAGGTTTGTTATTGCACATTCGTTCTTTTTAAAGCATTTTTCGCGTTTTTAATTTTTTAACTTTTTTGGGCAGGACATACCGATCGAGTTTGGTCTGTTGCCTGGTCACCCACAGGAAATGTGCTTGCTTCATGTGGAGGTGATAAAACTGTTCGTTTGTGGGTACTTGTTTCTGACGCGGAACCCTCAAAATGGGTATGCACGCACGTTTTAGAAGGATCACATAAAAGAACTGTACGAAGTATGTCATGGAGTCCCGACGGACGTCAATTGGCAACTGCAAGTTTTGATGCCCTTACGGGCATTTGGGAACGAGATGAAGGAGGAGGTAGGATCCCTTTCTTTAATATATTCAGAAAGTGATAGTACTAATGGACAAAAAATCGGCCGATTTAGAATATGAATGCGTTGTTACACTAGAAGGTCATGAAAATGAAACGAAGTCAGTTTCTTGGGCATCGTCGGGAACATTGCTTGCTACTTGTGGTCGTGACAAGAGTGTATGGATCTGGGGAGGTGAATGTCTTTTCTTTACATTTAATTCCTTTTTTCTTGCAAGTATTTAATCGTATTTAATCAATTAACTTACTAATTAGTCGCAGCTGATAACGATTTCGAATGCTTAAGTGTCTTACAAGAACATACACAAGATGTAAAGATGGTCTTGTGGCATCCAACAAAAGAGGTAATTAACTTTATTCACTATATTGCATATGTCTTGCATATTCTCATTAGAATTATTTAACATAAAGATTTTAGCATCTGCAAGTTATGATGACACAATTAAAATATGGCGAGAAGATGATGACGATTGGTATTGTTCGGATACTTTAGAAGGGCACGAGAGCACAGTATGGGCTATTGATTTTGATAAAACTGGAGAATACATAGGTATTTTTTTGTAAATTATATTATTATATTTATTATTGATCAATGTCATTTTACAATTACATCCGTTTTTCATATCCAATCACTACAGTTTCCGCCTCAGATGATAGGACGCTTAAATTTTGGCATTGTTATTATCCAAATAACCAGGAAGGTATTGTTACAGCTCGTAATGAACCAAAATGGAAGTGCGTATGTACCCTAAGTGGTTCTCATCAACGATGTGTTTATTCCGTGAGTTGGTCTAAGGTTCATGGTCGTGTTGCAAGTGGTAGCGGTGATAATGTCATTAGGATATTTGAGCAGGACGAATCATCTGTATCATCAGTGGATAATTCTTCGAGTGCTCCTAATTTTTCATTAGTCGCTTCGGTTGCTTCAGCACATGGAATTGCTGATGTGAACTGCGTGCGATGGTATCCAACAGAAGAACATTCTGATTGGCTAGTTTCTGCAGGTGATGATGGAATTGTGAGGATATGGAGATTTGTCGAAGGCTGATGCATTAAAATGATTATAATTTAATTGTAATTTAGATTATGTGAATATATTTCTTTCTGATTTACATTTTAGTTTGATGTGTCATCTTTAAGGATTAAATGTTTTGGGTTATAATAATATAAAGTTTAGTTCAAAAAATAACTTATCATTTTTAAATTTATAATTTTAAATAAATATATATATAAAATGAATTCTTTAAATATATGCATATTAATTATTGTTAATTTTAATTTAAAAAAATTATTTTATTTAAAACTTTTTTCTGATTATATCTGTTTTATTAAAAAATTTTTATACTTTTTATTACAAGTTTCAGTTTAAAAACTCAATTTTCAAGACAATTGATATATTGGAATGAAATTTTTGATTGAGTTTATTTAAATTTGAAAGTCTTGATTATTCTTTGATTGTATAAAAAAAAATCTAACAATTTTTGTATTTTTTTGCATTTCTTTTTACTTTTATAGTATTATAAATACTATTTGTGATCTTATTTTTATACTTTCTAAATTCAAAAAAATATTTTAAAAAATATACTTAAACAAAGTTATTGAATTTAATATTTATTTTAATATAATCTTTTTCAATAATCTTATTATAGTAACATCTATTGTATTATTTAAAAAATTTTATAAATATTATTGCAAATAAGTATAAAATGTAAAACTTTATTAATTAATCAATAAATTTATTATTATATTAAGTATAGGACTTCTAATTATATCACTTTGCTATTAGTTCAATATTTAAATTTACTATAAATTTATATAAATAAGTTGCAATCCATATATTAAATTTACTATAAATCAGTACCATTTCAATATCAGTTCAATATCAGTTTGATATCTTTTGAAACTTTAATTAAGTATTTATTTAAGTTAATATTAGTCTATTATATATAAAACTTTTGATATAATATTATATCAAGAAGATCAAAAATAATTTATAAATAACCTATACTTATTTATAAATAGCTAAATTAAAGAAAATAATAATAATAATTTTAATAATTGGATTTTAAATATATTATATAAACTTGTAAAACTATAATAATAGCTTTATTTTAATTAAAATAATTGATTAAATTTTGGATTTGTTGTTTTGACTTGTAAAATCATATAATAATTATTTAAGAACTAAGTAAAACATATAAAAAACTTAATATTTTATATAATTATTATATTAATATTATTAAAGATATCTTAATTAGAAAAATCATTAAAATATTTTTTATAAAATATTTTTATATTAAAAAAGTTACAAATAAAACATTATTAAAAAAAAAAACTCTTTCCTGTATATAACATTTTTCTTAAAAATTTCTTTTTATAATAATTTTTTCAAAATTAAAGAAACAGTTTTTTTAATCATTTTTTAATATCTAAAGATCTTTTATATTTTTTTTTTCTTTATTATAAAAATTTCAAGAAACTCAAAAAAGTATACAGATGCATTAAAATAGGATCTTTAATTAGAAAAAGCAAGTTTGAAGGCTTTGCTTTTTTTTTTAATTATATAAAAAAAGATTGTAACAGTTACTTTTTTATAAATCTTTCTTGGGATTCTTTCTATTTACACTTTTACTAAAAAACAATTCTTATTAAATAAATGTTTTCTGTTTTTAAAAAGCTGTTCTTTAACTTAAAAACTATACTATATATTAATATTGTTTATATTGCTAGCTTAAAACACCAGCAGTATATATAATATCCACTCTTAGAGCTCTGAAAAGTACCAAACTGATATTGAACTAGTATCAAAATAGTACTGATCTATAGTAAATTTAGTATATGAGTTGTAACCTACTCATATGATTTTATAGTAAATTTAAGTATTAAACTGATATCGAAGTAGTATTGTTAGAAACCCTATTCACTTTTCATTATTATTTAATATAATATATTGTATTACAAAAAACCAAAAATTTTACTTAAAAATTTCTTTTTAAAAAATCATAATCAGGTTACTTCTGTTAACTAATCACATTTCAAACTCAATTAATCAAACACTATCAAATATTAAAACAAATTTATATAATCAAAACATTATATAATAATTAATATAAAAAAATCCAGTTTTAATAACTATAGTTAAAACAAAATTACACTATTAATCTATAAACTAATTATCTTATCAATCATTAATTTTTTTTTTTTTTTTTTTAAATTGGCTAAGGGCATTAGATGCATGACATTTATTAAATATTTGTTTTGTAGTCAGTATATCAAATATCTTTACAAAGTAAGTTATTGCTATTCTAAATGCAAATTAATATTATCTAATAATTACCATTTCCAGTAACTCTGGT